TTTTTTTTTTTTGTTATGTAATTTGGGAAAATCAGGGTTTAATAATGGAATTTCAGATTTCCACCTTTCACTGTATTTTTTTACAACATTTTATTTTCAGGGCAAGACAGTCACTGAAAATTTTCAGTAATAGCAATTTAAAATATCTTGGGTTAAAATCTCTGAAGAAGATTCTTGGTGGAAGAGTATTCATTACTGATAATAAGGCATTATGTTATGCAAATACCCAGAGTCGCACTTGGGATGATATAATAGAAGAAGTTCCAGAAGCGGGTCATAGGAAATTCAGGATTGAGCGAAATCGGAATCCTTCTATTTGCGGTAATGCTGTTATTTATATTTGTTACTGTTAGTGATTGGACGAAAAATGGCCTTATAAATATTTGCTTGTATCTAAATCTTGTTTTTTTAGATTTGCAAGGAAGACGGTGCAGTGATTCTTGTGACGAAGACTATGGTTGTTGGGGTCCCGGCAGTGACCAGTGTGTGAAGTGTAAATATTATTATGACGGTGAACAATGCTTATATAGTTGTTCACCTATCGGGTAAAAGCATTGAACTGCTGAACAACGTAATAAGGATGACATATAATTGTCGCCCAAATTTGATGTTAAAAAAATTTTTATCTTAAATTGCATCCTTCAGATTTCCCTTAAAATTTTTGTATTTTTTTGTCAGAAAGCCATCATTATCGTCTTCTTTTCAGAAGTAATTTAACTAATTCTTTTGCAGAAATTATGTTGACGGTAAAAACTGTTTACGATGTGACGAAGAATGTGTAAAGTGCCATGGTCCGTCAAATGAAGACTGCGACAAGTGCAAGCATGTTTCGCTTCAACGGGGACTTCGGAAACAGTGCCTACGAGAATGCCCTAATACTCACTATGAAAACAATGGCACCTGTGTTCCTTGTCATCCTGCTTGTTATGCTTACGGGTAATCATTTGATCTGCCAGCTAACGACAATTTTTCTTCTAAAGTTTGAAGGGCGAAACACCTAAATGGATTATGAAACAGTAACTGACTTGTTATTTATTCCGAGTGAGAAAAAAAGCTAATGCATTGTCACTTTAAACGAAACCAGTCGCTGCAACAAAAAAACAACTGACGATTAGAATTATATAGATATTTATGTCGATAATGACAAGATTTTCTATTTATTTGACAAATAACTGGCATTTGAAATCTAAAAGTCAGGTCCAAATATGTTTTAAAGACCGATGTTTTTTAGCTGTACGGGTGGTAGTGACATTGCTGGACTTGGAGGCTGTAATAAATGCGAATACGGAGTTGAACTAGATGGCTCTATAAAATGTTTAAGCTCCGAAAATAATTCTTATTCAGTTTGCAAGGAAAACCACCTTGACAACTATTTTGTGCACCTTGAAACAACGGACAAGATAGCATCCTATGTCAGGAAGATTTTCAAATTTTTTGAAAATTGTTTTCCACTGTATTCAGTGTTCTTTCATCAAGAAAAAAGTTAAGAAATTGAAATTTGCAGAAATGTAACAAGTGCCCCGATGAGTGTTTTTCTTGCACTGGTTTCGGTACAGATACCGCAAAGCACGAATGTGTGTGTGCTGCATATGTAACGCATTCACCAGGAAACAGAAGTTATTGCACAGCTAAATGCGAAACGTAATTTAACGTGTCTTTGATTCATTTAGTTGGTCCTGATTTTATACTTTTGTTTTTTGATTTTTTGGCAAATGGTGCAGTCGTTAATCTGATGGTCGGTTACCTTTACGCTGTAACAGTAACTAACCACTTTAGTAGGCTGAAACACTTGATGGAAGTTTCCGCAGCCAGTTATTAGTGTAATGTATAAATATCGGCTTCTTGTTGAACTTTTAGCAACAAATTTCGCCATCTTTTTAGCCTGACTGTCAGCTAGTACCAAACGTCCTAGTCAAAATTTCTAGTAAGAACAACTATGTAGGATAGGCCGGTGGGAATTAAAATTGTAGGAATTAAAATTTCAGGTAATATCAAAAAAATTTTTGAAAAAAAGTTGCTTTTTGTGCATTGGCTGTCGTGGTCATTGCTGCAAAAAGCTTTTTACTTTTGTTTAATTTAAGAATCTGAGATTTTTCTCAGAGCTTTAGTGTAATAGTAACCTACTTGGTAGTTTGAATAAAATGGAATTTATTTGCTGTATTTGTATTTTAAGGTACTTTGCGAAATATAGTGAGTTTTAGGGGTTCTTACTTGATCAAAGAGAAGACAGCAAATAACACTGGCCATTGTCAAATTTGTCATGAACTTTGTGATCACTCTTACGGCTGTGTGGGAAATAAGCCGTCGGAGTGCGAAAGATGTAAATTTGCTGCAGTTGAGAAGGATGGAATACAGGTTTTTTGTTTAGTGCGTATAATTTGAACCTAAATAAACACTACAATTTTTCTAAACTTCCATATTTCATCCATTTTGTTCAGACTTGCTTAGACGAGTGCCCGCTGGGTTTGCATAAGTACGATGATGTAAATAATGTGTGCCATGACATTGATCCTGCAGCCGTGGTTAGAAGAAAGTAATTTTATTCTTTTCATTCGTTCGTTATGTGCAAAAGTGTTAGTTGAAAAAACAAATTTTTGAGGTCGTTCTAAAACTAAAAAACTATTTTCAGAAAACGGATTGCTGCATTTTCATTTGTCCTCTGTGTAGTGTTTGCCGTGGTCATTGCTGCAGTAAGCTTTTGCTCTTGTGTAATTGAGAAAACTAGACTAAAATTTCTTATTGTCTTATAGCTTTAGTACGATAGTAACTTATTTGAATTTCTTTTTTTTTACACTGTTATATCAGTATGGCTGTTTGAATAACTGTGAATCATTTTTTCCGGCTAAGAGTGATAAATATTTATGTAAGTTTTTACTAGGTTTTCGGTGTTAACTGTTGGAAGTACAGGAATCGTTACAAAAAGGAGCTACAGTTGAATCCACCAGCATTACCTGAATATAAACCTATGGATCCGGACGATAAGCCTAATATGAATCAGTTACGTCTAATATCTAGTGAACAGCTTACTAAGACATCAAGGCCATTGGGTAAAGGAGCATTCGGCATTGTTTATGCTGTAAGTCAATACGTGTGCTTCCAGATACTATTAAAAAAAGCTTTCAAAGGTGTACTGGTCGATTTTTTAAAAAGCATACATCTTTATTTTATGTTTGAAAGTAGTAATTTTATGTCAGAGAATGAAGCAGTTACAGACGACATACCTGCTGTTTAGGGCTATTGGTGGCCAGAAAGAAAAGGAGCCGAAAAGGTAGTTGTAGCCATCAAAGTTGTACAAGACCCAACGGGTCAGGCTCAGAAAGAGATGCTTGCTGAAGCTGGCATTATGGCTTCTATGAAACACGAACATTTACTTAAGCTTGTTGGAGTTTGTCTTAGTAATGGTATTCAACTAGTAACCCCGTTACGTCCACTTGGCAGCTTGCGAGAGTTTTTAATAAAACATCGTCAAAATCTTGGAGCCCGAGATCTACTGTTATATTGCTTTCAGATCGCTTCGGTAAGTTTTCTCTCTGGTTAGCACATGGTAGGCAGAAAGAACAGCTCTGATCATATCAGATTACTGAAGAGCGTACACAAAGCTGATAATTATAAAAACGAAGGGTGCATAAAAATGCGTTTCTTAGGCAATGGAATATCTGTTCAAAAATAGATTGGTCCATCGAGATTTAGCTGCACGTAATGTTTTGGTAAAAAGACCAAATCATGTGGAAGTTACTGACTTTGGATTGGCAAAGATGCTTGAAAAAGGCAAAAGCGAAATTATTGTTAGCGGGAAAGTGAGTGATTTAATAATGAAAAAATTTTAATGCGGTCAAAAGAAATTGATAGTGTTATATGAATTTTTTTCACATCAGGTTGCTGTGAAGTGGTTGGCAATTGAAAGTCTTCGAAACAGAATCTATAATCATTCTACAGACGTCTGGGCCTTTGGAGTTACTTGTTGGGAAATCTTTACGTTTGGACAAACGCCTTATATGAGCATTGGATTTGATAAAATGCTTGGTTATCTGGAGTCTGGTAATCGATTAGAACAACCAAATAACTGCTCTCAAGACGTCTACCAAGTACTCGTCCAATGTAAGGAAGCAACTGCTTGAAAAGCAGACAATTTCAGATTATTACTTATCTCATTTAGATAAATAATGTAATTTAAGAATAAAAAAAACTTGTCAAGGTTATGAATATTGCAGGTTGGCTAGAGAATCCAGATTCTCGTCCCACGTTCGTCGTATTAAAGACCTATTTTGACTCATTCTGTCGCGTCCCAAATCGTTACTTAGTATTGGTATGTTTCATACCATCATATTTTATACATTTTGCACCGTTTAATTTATTACTCCTCGACGATGGCTTTTGAGAAACAGAAAGAAAGGTTGGGAATTGGCTGTGAAATCCCAGTTCATGAGGTATTAAAGAAAATGGAGTAGACAGCATTTGATTCTTATTTATTTATTTTGGTGTATTATTTGTAGAAAAAAAGAAATCCTCCTCTTCCAATGGAGAGCATGAATAATGAGAACCAGCGAGATCTGATAAATGAAATGATGCAAGATAATGATTTTATGGATCCTCTAACCTATTTTGATGAACACGATGGTCCGACTACTGAAAGTACTATAATTCCACCAACCCCAACTACTCCTGCATGGTCATCTAATAATGAAACTTCTGGAAACAGCTGTAACGCCATTCTAGTAAATTTTAGCATGTCACGTTTATACTTTTTAATCGCTAATCTTTTTCTAATACAGTAATTTATTTTACAATCGGTACCAATAGACCGGTTGCTCTTAACAAGTTGGGGGATCTAAATATAATTAGACCAAAAATCTGAACATTTTAATTTCCTATTTTATAAAAAAATTTTCAGGCCTGAAGAAGCCTTGAAAGCTAAATTCCCCACTGTTAGCCTTTTTCAAAACCTTATTCCAAATAGACGGTTTGAAAATTCGTTTATAGTAATGACTGTTTGAAGATACGTTTGTGGGGTTGGACTGAAAAACAGAAGTGTGAGATATTTACTGCTGCTTTTGCTGCAAAAATAATCCAAAAGGAGTGAAGAAATTTTATATTAGTTTCCCATTTGTTAGCTTCGACTGGAAATTTTTTAGATCTGATGGTGTTATCATTTCCCTTACATCTTTGCGCTTTGAAGAAATTTTCCAGTCGTGGGAAACTACCGTCAAAATTATTCACCGATATAATTTTGCGTTCATTGTTTAGGCCACTGGGTCTAGAACCTATAATTTACGTAAAAAGCAGTAATCAGAGAGCCTATAATTCAATTACAGATGAGCTGTCAGGGCCGAAGGTTAACTAACAGTGACTCGACAAGATACCAAAGTGATCCTGTGCATGGCGATGGATCAAACATTGAGTTGAGTACAGATGAAGGCAATTATCTGGTACCGAATACAAAGCAGTCTGCTGTATTATATACACCCGTCGTTGTTCACGAAAACAGCGAAACAGGTAGGCAGATTTTTTTACTCGCTCTTCTAATTCCCCATAACGTAAACATCTTGTTTCTGTAACATGTCTCAAAATCCTTTTGTTGAAATACTGCTTTTTCATTTCTGGTGGATTTGAATCGCCGATAAATGCAATCAACTTCTGACACAATTTTCGAGTCGGATATTGTAAGGGCAAAAGAAATGAACAAGTTTTGAGTTTTTTCTTTGCAGACCTTTTAAGCCCGACTCATTACTACAACGAAAACGGAACTCCAGAGTACTACAACGAACTCAAACCTGCGGATGATAAGATACCAATGATTCGGTCCTTAGCTAACAGAGATTACTTTGCAGAGGCGGAAACGGCACTTTGACTGACAAGTTTATTTTTATACAGAGGATTCAGTAATAACTTATCTTTTAGTTAAGCTTGTACAGTTTCTTGTCAATTAACAAGTAATACTTCTAGTTTTTCAGTTAAAAAGCTTCTATTAGATGAAGTTATTAGGTAAGACACCAAGAAGTATGCAGTGCTCTCTGTAGCAGATGAAATAGCATTCAGTAACTCCTGTCATGATGGTCACAGAAATGTTGAAGTGCTACTGGTCATTATAAAGAGTAGTTCTAGAATTTGAGTTGTTCTAAGCTTCTGCTGAAAGGTAGATTCTACATGATGTATTCTATAAAATTTTCCAAATTTACCGCTTCTGTACAGTTGCTTTTGTCTATGTATCTAGATGTAGTGAGTTTTTACAGTACTACTCCACTAAAATAGTCAGTAACAAGGATGAGAATCCATATGTCTGCATTGTTTGTTTCGTTCCTTTGTTTTTTTTTCCGTTATTTTGTCAATTTCTTAATTTGCCTATACCACCAGTGGCAAATATTTCAAGACATCCAGTTAGTTTTACGACCTGTTAACGGATGCTCCCTGCAGCTAGTATCTGGTGCCCAAATTTTGCTGTTTTGCAAGATATAAGTAATGAGTACCTTAACGAAAATGGTGTAAATTTGGACAAGGGTGCTAGTTTTTATTGTTCAAATTTGGTAACAGTAACAAAAATTTTAATTGGCATTTTTGAAGTGCGGAAAACCTCAGTCAGGGTGCCACAGGTGGTTTGAAATGATCTCATTGATACGGAGTGTTTTGGGGAATCAAAGTTTTACGTGTAATTTAAGAGTCTCAAAGCATAATGTTTTCCTTACGGGTATCTGTTTTTTTACTTCCGATTCTAGTTCATTATTATTATTACTGTCATTCCTATTGACTTTTACTATATTATACCGTTCAGTCATTAGGTCACTCTGTTACTGTGACACTGCGTTGCATCTATTTGTTATTATGTTTCTGTTTCTTCTTTCACTGCGATGTGCAAAGTTTTCAGTTCATTTTTTTTTTTTTGTTGCTATCACTGTTATGATTTTCTAAACTGTCAGTTGATAAAAAAAAAGAAACTTTAATAAAAATTTTTACTATTGTTGACAAGATACTTGCTTAGATGTTTTTGCTTTGATGGGCCGGTGGAGTGATAGGTTAACTAAGAACGGTAGAATTATTAATAGAAAAATGTCAGATTTAATCCTATTTTTCAATAGTTCCTCGCCTGTGAAATAATTTCCCAGTGTCAGTGGTTTTTAAATCATTAGGACTTCACTTGCTAGGTTGCATAGTTCAAAACACGCTTTCTTCCTGATAAGTTTCAAGCTTTTAGATTCTAGCGCAGTATAAACTTGATTTAGCACTGTTTTCACTCAGCGTTACGTGAAGGTATAAATACGGTTTTTGTTTCTGTAATTCTTAGTCGCAGGACTTAACGAATGAATGTTGTGACGACTTTTTAGACTGCTCTTCAATTAGAGTACACAGTCTTATCTGATTAATCATGAAGCGCGCTAAAAAGCAGCATTTGGTAGTGTTTCCTTCTAGAGAGTAGAGAAGGCTGATAAGTACAAGGACTGTTTTCCGTCGCCGCATATTGGTTTCAAAGGCTCTCCATATTCAAACGTAGGTTTTGTGAATCTCTAGGGAAGATAGTGCATACATAGACGAGATCTGAAAATGTTGGTGTTGTAGATAATGCGCTACAAAGTTCTGAGGCTACAAATCAAACAAATACTGCCTTAAGTGAAAATTACTTTTGTTTTAGCTATTACGTTTTCTGCGGAAGGTAATGTGCTTTGTATTCCGTCAAGGAGTAATAATGGCAAATTATCAAAAGTTAGTGAGGACCCTGTTTTGCTTTCCCAAGGCTAGTCAGAGACTTTCCTTAAGTAGAAAATTTTTTGTTTAAAAGTGCACTGAACAACAGCAGACATGTAAAACGGTAAAGCGCTGTTAGTTTAATCAAAAAATTACGAGCAGCATAAATCTCTTCTCTACTGAATGTTTGAAATCGTCCCTGAAAATTTAGATTCTATTAAACAAACCGTTTTGGTCAAGATTTCTAGGAAGGCATAGGTGTAAAAACTAATTTTCTCTTTCTATGTGGCTTTTAAAAATACAGGATACGTGCGAAGCCTTCATGGACATTCCGTGGCTCTTTTAACTCGCCGAAGACTAATTTACCGTCTTCGTCTCTAGATTCCACTTGCCCTCAGATTCTCCTCGGAATTGGAGTCTTTTATTTACTTCCCTCCTAAACAGTTCGTAGTGGAATCTTGTTGAAGATAGGGCATGTAACAGCTAGGGAATTGTTAAGGTTGGTTAAAAGACTGTCGAGTTACGTAACAGTAATGCAGCCGCGTCTTCTCACCTTCTTACCTTTCTCATCTCCTAAACTATTCTGTCGCTTCTAGGAGTCTGTATATTTTTTTAAATATAACCTAGTTTAACATCTCAGGTGAGTGATAAATAAATTGATTTTTTGTTTGATTCTAAAACTAAAAGAGTAATTCCACAGATTACATACCATGTTTTTTTTGCAGTTATAAGGCGGTATGAAGTACGCGAGTGGCGCTAAAATGACCAGCAAATCTTCCATACGATGAATTACTCAAATCTCTTAAAATCGAAAAAAAAAAAAAAAAAGAAGTGATTATTTGGTACTGCACAGTTTCTAAATCCTCAATCAATATTTTCAAATTTAACTTAAAAGTCACAAAATTACCGGAATTAAGGCTTAAACCTCTGTTACAAATGCTTTTTCGGCCTTGTAGGCCTGTTGCAGGTTCTCAGTTGTATTTCATTCGCCTAGTGAATTATAAAACACCAGCTACCATAATGCGCTCTGAAGAAGGTCCATATATTTGCCAGTCGGATCTACTTAGTATGTTTTTGCGAACTTTCACTACACCTAGCTGTTCCGAGCGAAGATCGTCATACAATGTGGTCAAAACTGGATCTTCATCTGAGCTTACGTGTCCCATGACTCATACTGCAAACACACTGTCATGCTTACAATAAAAGCAGTCATTAAGCCTGTCGCGTCAAGCGAACACTCCTAAGCTGGAGAGGAAGGAGGAGACACACCGGGACGAGTTTCCCCAAGCTGGGGAGAATAAAAGAGATTGAAATGGACCCGACCGGACTTGAGCAGATCAGCTATTGCGAAGATAAGGCTGGCGGGGATCGAGGTAGGCGGGATGCCAACCCCGCCCAGAGCAGAACGACTATTTAACAAGGAGAGGACGGAGAAGGGAGACGAGTTTTATTCACCCATGTTTTAACTGTATTCACATTTTGATATTTTAACGGGTTTATGTTTTGGTATAACTTTAATTTATAATTTTATTTTTCATGGTTTAATTACCTAAGTTTGAGGTTTCGTCGTACTATATTCGCTTTCTTAAATAAAACTATCAAAACCCAAGTGCCGCGTGGCAACATATTCTTATATAGACCACCAACCTTTGGAGACAACTATCCAGGACGACGAGAAGTAATCGAAGGGATCAAAAGGAAGAAAGAAAGAAATATTCAATTTTAATTTATAAAGCCCTTAGATCCTTTTAGCTCTGATTCTATCTTCACTGTTGTTTCTTCTCCGGAACGTTTCTGCAATTCAGAACACTCGTATTGTTAATCTTCGTTTAATTGTAGTTCTATCTTTTAATTCTACCTTCCTTTTAATCACCCCCAATTACTCTTATGTTACTATATGTCGTATAGCATGTAATTTTCTTGTGTTAATAAATTTACTTCTAATGATTTCTTTACTTTAATGACCAAGCTCTTTGTAACACATATTTATTTGATCTTCAAGCGCAGAGAGAAAAGTATGGAAAACTCAAGCACTATGTGGCAAAAAAAAAAAAAA